AAAAAAAAAAAAAAAAAAAAAAAAAAAAAAAAAAAAAAAAAAAAAAAAAAAAAAAAAAAGGGACCATTCAGGTCGCCGGAGAGCCGCATTTTCCCGCAGTGTTCCAGAAGCCAGTTCCGAAATAATTATAAAATAATATCGTTCATGTAATATAATTCATAATACAGAAGTGATAACGAGTTCCGTTACAATATTATAAAATATCACAACGTTAATATCTGCCGGATAATGGAATCAAAGACGTGTATAAGAAGCCTCAAAACATCCATATAAATAAGACATTATCTTGAAAATCTCGAGGATTAAAGAAACTAAGGAAGAAAGAAAAGAAATAGAGAAAGGAATGTAATTTCTAAATATGAGTATCGATATGTTGTAATTATTAAAAAAAAAATTAATACGGGAGAAACGCTTTATCTTGAACTCTCGAAATTTTAACTTGTCAGAAAAGGACATACTTGTATAACAACGTTCGAAACGGTTTTGATATATTTGGAAGCATGAAGACCGGCTTGACTATAACATTACAAAACTTAATATTTTTAATGAAACGCCAGAAACACATGTTTCATAAAAATTAGTTCTTCGAATTCGAATCCTTTTTTTCTTATAGGGAAATAATGATGTAAGTTAGCGATGAAATCATATATGTATTTTTGCGACATGCATTTCAAATCTTGACATATCTTGACCAAACGAAAGCAATATTCTTTGACCGGGTTGCCTTGAGATCACTGACAATACTTTCTTCATCAACAAGTTTCACCTGTTTTATGCATTTACCGATATGACGAAATATTTTTCATTGACATACATTTCATCAATATAAAGTTTTCAAGTGGATGCATTCGATCTTATTATAAATAGCTATTATTAAATAATAAGTATTAGATAATTATTAATAGATAATGAATTTTCTCTTTTATAAAATTTGCATGGGCTTTTTTTGTATTTGTCTTGAAAAAATATATATGAAACTTCAAATACTGCAAGGGATCTCTAAAAAAAAAAAAAAAAAAATATTAGATAAAATATTTTAACTATGAAGGCTGAATACTAAACTTTGAAACTAAAGTCATAAAATTCTCGAAACTCTTCAGAGATTTAGAATCTGTTTATTTTTTCTTTCTTTCTTTTTTCTTTTTCAAGAAATATCTATTTTATTGAATATTTATTTTGTCAAGAAATTTTATATTTATTTATATTGAATAAATTTATTTAATTTCAATATTCTGGAAATTTTAATAAAATGAAGTTTATAATTATTCTTTTTCACGAAGAATTTCATTTTTATATTTAATTTTTTCTTTCCTAAACTATTGTTAAGAAATGACGAAATCGCATGAATTAAAATGAGTCTAAAGTTTAAATTGCAACATCTTCAAATTTTTTTTACAAGTCATCTTTTAGACTTCGAGATTTTTGGAATTATAAAAAAATTGAAAATTCCAAATGGCCAGTCTCTATAAAGTATTATTTATTAAATAATAATAAAAAAAAATTCATTACCTATGCTAATTTTTCAATCAATTAACAGTCTGAGATGATGTCAACAATTTCCATGGATCGGTTAATGCACAGCAACGAAATTCGGCGATTGCAATGACACGATATGTCAGTCCATCTCAAGGTTACTTTTCGACCTATATTTCTCCATTCGGATAAATATACGTGAAACGAAACGAGTAGCTTGACTGGAATCCTGTTTCGAGGTGAATGTTATTTTTTTTTTTTTTGGTCATTTCGCTTCGCATGATTGAACCTAAGCAGAAGAATAAATTAAGATGAACAGAAAGATCTGTTAATAGATAATAAAAAAAGGATACGATCGCAATACGCAGACATAAGAAGATCGCGAGCCGCCGAACGTTTTTTCCGCGCATTATTTTCAAATAAGTATCTTTTACAGATTGAAAAAATAGTGCAAAATGCGCATCGATCGGCGCCTCGTCTGTGCTCCATTCTCTCATGAAAACGAGAAATGACTACCTTGGCGCGATGACTTAGGAACTAAGCGCTATGTATTTGAAAAAATATTAAAATGACGTAATGAAAAAATTAATAGAAAATGAATAATCGAAGAGAAGGGTGGATGATGAAAGAAACGATAAATTACGGGCTCCCCCCATTCATTTGTTATTGATTAGATGGCAACGATTCTTAGACATTTCTTCATATTTAATTTCTTGTACTTAATACTGTTCGTAACGTTAAATCCTTTTATTTGTTAAATAACATCGTGTGGAAGCTGATAACGCTTTGACGTTTTGAATTATTGACGAGGATTTACTGTTAGATATTATTAGGTAGAAGAAAACATTAGCGCGTTTGATTTTGTAATACTCGTAAAATATTGCTATTCAAACATTTAATCGATCCACACGGTTAACGCTAGACAAGAATTAATTTTCTATACGACGAATGACTGTGTTGGCAAACATCAATTTTCAAAATGGCTGCTTGAACAATTTATTTGTTACACGTGAGCCCGTAATTCTCGCTATATAACGACGATAAAGTAAGCAATCCCACAAGAATGATGATTGCTACGATATCTATATTAGTCGAGAATAAAAAGCAGAAATATTGTTTCAAGGATACAGGATTTGCATTCGCATTGATCCAAATGATAATTTGTCGCATACATTTGAGACGGTCCAATAATCATTGATAATCATCAAATTGTTAAAACAACTCCTAAAAAGCTGTCATAGTAATTCATAAGTAAATAAAAAAATTAAAGCAAAAGCTGATTTTGTGCATACGATTATTAGCTTCACACATCATTAATTGTTTTTCTTTTTTTCTCTTTTTCATTTCGTTGATCTAATTTGCAAAATCGATCAGGTTGGTCGCAACGCGCCAAGGAGTAAAGAATAATGTTTCTGTTTTCCTTTTTTTCTCTCCTTTTTTTTCCTCTTACACTCTGTGATTGCTTTTTCAACGGCTTCGTTCATTCGTTTTTGCACCGCTGGAAAAAGTATTTGCCACTCTCCATTTCTCTTTCTCTCCCTCTTTCTCTCTCTGTATCTCATTCACTCTCAACGTAATTTCAGGCACTCCTATATATTTACAGAACGTTATCGTCATCTCGCTTTTGCCATTTTCATTCGCATACAGCGTACGACAAATTTTTTATTGAGCGCCGTCCGCTCAACGCTCGAAGTATATTAGCGGTTACAAGATAATTCGAATAATTAGGGAAAAGAACGAATGTATACAACACCAGCCATTTACCTACGTAACAATTACTACCGCTCTATATACAACGAATCACTAATGCTGTCGCCGAATTGTACCAGAAAAACTGAAAAATCAAAGGCGAGTTTTCATTCCTTTTTTTTTTTTTTCCTTTTTCTTCTTATTCTTTTCTTCCTTTTTTATTTATTCGTATCTCTGGATCGACGAGATTATTATTATTATCGGAAAAAGGTACAAGGGACGAGAATATCATAATAATTATAGGAATATTACGAAAAAATATTCAGCCTCGAAAAAATTAAATAATGTGGCACTTGGTGAATCTCGTTCCACCGATTCAAAATATTTAATAAAATGGAATATCTTTTGTGGGAGGAAACGGCGATTCGAATTCTGTATCCAATAAAACGACGCTCCTCTTTCTCTCTCTTTCATATATATATATATACACACACACATACGCGCGTCCATTCACGCATACACACATGCACAGACATCGATCATGTACTTCCCAGTACAATCATAATTTTACAAGAACAAAAAAAAAAAAAAATAAGATGCCAGCATAAAGTCTAAAAATATAGGAGAATCGCGAGAATTCCGATATTACAACGGAAATACTATAAAGTGGAGTTAAATTCCAGAATAAAAATAAATATATTATCGAAACACTGACGGAGATATTCGACAATTCCGCTCGGTTCAAATAGAACCAACTGAACGACTAAATGAACGATATAATGATTATGTAATATGCATATGTATGTGTGTATATATATACATACATATATATGTATATATATACACACACATACACATATATTAATATATTAAACGCTTGTATCTTAAACGATAGCAAAAAGGCAATGTATAATCGAAACTTATTCCTTTAAAAATTTTCTTTTGTACGTTAACATGTGTAACGGGTCTATTCGAGACTCGCGCTTCCTTTCATACCTTGCTATTTAATTAAACATCGTTCGATCGACGATTGGAACGAACGATTCAGTCCACTTTATAGTAACTGCACGGTTTTACGGTAGATAAAAAAGGAACCGTGAACACAAAGGTAGAAAAAAGAAGCGTTGGTGTACGCATATTGTTCAACGTTATTTAACACGAAACGATTACAGGTTACCCATTGAACGCCTCTAATCTCTTTCTTTTCTTGTTCTTGTTTTTCTTCTTTTTCTTTATATCGATACGCGTTTTACATATTTTTTCTTTCCAAAGCTATTTATTTTAAACAATATACTCTTTGATTTAATCTCAATGACGAAAATACAACAAAAGAAAAAAAGAAATAATTTTGCATTGTGCCTCGACTTCGCGGAACAAAATACATATTATTATCGTGTTGAGTCATGTGCACCTCTTTCGAAGCGCTCTGTACAAATTCCTTTTTTTTTTTTTTTTTTTTTTCTTAACGAAGCGTTTCGGTGCGTATGTTGCATCTCGTTGCCACAGAATCATCCTGGAAATCGACGGTTCCCCCTCTTTAAAATATGCGCACGTGTGTCACGATTCAACGAAGACTGCTTTTCATAATTTGATATATATATATATATATATGTATATATATAGATATATATATATAGATATATATATACATATATATATAAAAGAAATATTTAGCAGCATTTTGAGCGTAAATGACGATCCATTGTACGAGAAGCGTGAAGCACCGAACGCCGGAAGGACAGCTAGGCAACCGAAAGGGATAATTTTAGATTAGGGAGGATTTTTTTTTCTTTTTTTTTTTTCTTTTTTGAGAGATGAAAGATGGCGTTCGTGTTTCGTCGCCGTGTTCACCGTCTTCTCGACGATTCCCTCGTCCAGCATCGTTGATCTCGTAACTACCGGGGCTCGTAGGCCTCGTAGACGAGCTCTGGCACCAGGGCCAACGAGAACGTGGCGCTGACTTGTCTTGCGTACTGTCTTCTTGTCCCGATAGCTTCGTGTTACCTATTATTCTCTTCCATTACCACCTGCTTGAACACACCCGCGGGCATCTGACTTTTGATCTCGTGACTGCCGAGTGCAGTCGTCCCGTCTTTCGCAATGAACAGCTGAAGTCCAGTCGCTGTAAATATAAATAATAATCGAAAATTTTAAATTACATATTACGTTAAACGTTAGAAAAAAAAGAAAAGACGAAAAAGAAAAAAAAAATAGATAAGAAAAATGATAAATATAATTCTTATTATATTTTTATTTATAATCTTATTAGTCTTTATTTATATATTATATATATTTCACACCAAATGAATATATTTAATAAATAAAAAAAAAGAAGAAAAAGAAAAGATGAAAGATAATTATTATTTTTATTATGCTCTTAGTTTTTCTATCTATTACTATGTCTTCATATTTCGCATTAAATAAACATTAGGTTAATTAAAAAAAAAAAAAAAAAAAGGAGGGAGAAAAGAAGAAAGATGATAGATAACTCGTTCTAACTATATTTTTATTACGTCTTCATTATTGCGTATTTCATAATTTAAATAGATATTATGTTTTATAATTACATTTAAAAAAAAAATGAAAAATAATCAGTTCACATTATATTCTTTTTATAATTTATATAATTATTATATAATTATTATATAATATAATATAATATAATATATTATAATATATAATAGTTTTTATATAATTTTATATAATTATTATATTCGTTTACATCAAATAAATACTAAATTTAATTAAAAAGAAAAAAAGAAAAAAATTGATCAGTTATAGCAACAAAATATAATTTTTAATTTTTATTTAAAATTATTGATGTTCGATCATCAATTTCTTTTTACATTTTTCATCATAAGAAAATATTAAAAAAACAATCTTGATGATCTTATCGAAAAATTATTTTCTCGTGAGATTCTTTTCCTTTTATATATCTATTTTTATTAATGAGAATGAAAAAGTAAAAAAAAAAAAAAGAAAAAGAAAAAAGAAATGATGAAATAAAAGATTTAAAAACTAAATTGGAAAAAAAATTATTATATAACAAAATATAAATTAAAGAAATATAATTGAATAAGAATAACATACTCTCAGAACTCTCAAGATCAGTTTGCTCTAAATTTGTTGCTTTGATCAGCTCATCAATCAAAGAATCCGGATTTGGCCTAGTCACTTCAACTCTGCACAAAATCGAATTTCCGGTTCCATCCTCGGCCTTTTTCCTGCGCTCCAGCGCGGCTTTTGCACGATCCAGAGATCCTGTTTCGCTGAGACCCGAACCACTGGAGGGATTTCTACGAAAATAGACACGCCGAAGATAAAAAATTGTTATTTCATCTTTGAGTTCATTTTTTTTTTTTTCTTATTTTCAAAAGCACCAGTATAGAAAGCACATTACATTTTCAATGAAAATCAATTCAAATGTTGACTGTCAAAACCGTTAGAAAAAATCTAATGTACAGAATGTTTGAAAAAAAAAAAAAAAACTATTCATATCTTTTCCAAGATTCATATGGCACATACATCAATCATTTTTCGAGATGTAATTATTTTTGATTGCATCAACATTGTGATTGACTTCTTTCTTGTATTTAGAGATGTTCTCTTTCCATTTCCATAGATTAGATATGCTAGATTCGATTTCTTCAAGTCATTTATTAAAGAATTGGCACACTTCTAGTTAAAAAATATAACATGAAAATTGAACGAGAACATTCAAAGACAGAAAGAAAATATAAAAAATTTTTTTCTTATTTAATAAGAAAAACATTCTTTATGACACGTATAAGCTAATAATACAATGATGATGCTAATATAAAACAAAAAATGATTTCTCAGAAAAAATTGTATTTTCGACCTATACTTATTATTCCAT